GTTTACCCTCAGGTGGGCTGTTTGAAGGGTGCCCATCATTGTTGGTAGTAGCCAGGTTGAAAGAGGCACCAAGATGGTGCCTGACCATGATTCTGACTCCAGAGTCATCCCTAAAGTCTTTGCTTCTTGGGCCAATGCTGTAAGGATGCTATCTGGGATTCCTTCGCCCATGGAATGGTGTATTCAGATTGCACTGCATTCCAAGTAGAATCAATGCATGTGGCCATTTTACTGACTGGTTCTTGGTCTTTTCTTTCTACTTGGTATGCTTGTGCTCATGTCCCTCAGGCCTTCAATGCGGGTTTCTAGGGGCTTGTCTCTGGTGAGATGGATTGGGGTTGGAGTCCTTGGTGTTGGCTCCCCAGAGAATAGTTCCCCACCTGAGAGATCTCGTCTCAATGGGATCTTACTGCCCCTGGAGGGGGGATAGAAAAAACCATGGTGACAGGGTCTCTGCCTCTCCTATCCGTCTGGTGCTGCCTTTCTGTCATTTGCGGTGGCAGCTCTATTTGTGTGGATTTCAGGTCTACTTGTGGGTAGATTAATCCCTATTTAGGTACAGCTTTGCTGTGTCTGTGGGAGGAGGTGGGCAGAGGTTCTTCCTGTTCCTCCATCTTGAACCTGCCTTCTTTCATGGAAGGGCATGATGCCTGAGTGTTAGAACACGTTTACTTTCAGATTTCTCCAGTGGCTGTGTCTATTATCTCTCTCACTAGAGCTCTGCCTCACACTACAGTTTCCCCTGAATATAGCTGTCCTGGCCATTAAATTGTGTTTCAGTGAGGACAGTAACGATGTTTTACTTTGTTTCTCAGTGCCCCTGCCAAGTGCTCCCCAGAAAATACTTGTCAAATTAAGTTGAAACATCCCCTGTCCTGACTTTCTTGCCTGCGATTGTACCAACTATAACTGAGATATTGCTAATCTCTGTAGGAAGCTAGAGCTGAAGGAGCCCGTTTTCCCTTTCAGAATTCCTCTCAGACCTTCCTGCTATTGTAGGGTTGTCAGCTGACTTCCTATCTGCTGGCCAGGTCCACTCCCTCCCCTGCTGCATGTTTACAGCCCCCCTCTGTAGAGCATAGGGCTGTACTGAGTGGGCACAGAGGCCTGGCCACCCAAACAGGGCCCTACTATTAGTTTTGTGCTGCTCAGTACTGAATAATAACAGGACATTTATCGACAACTTTTATGTGGCTCTATCTACACTGTGGACACGGCATCCCTTTGTAATGGCTGTGTGGCTTTGGGCGGCTTACTAGTCCTCTCTGAGCCTCAGTTTCCCCATGTGTAGGATGGGGATGGTAATAGTTCTTCCTCGGGTTGTTACAAGACTTTAAAAGAGGTCACACTGCAAGTACTTAGCATAGCACCTGGTGTGCGCGGCAAGCATCCAGTGTCATCGGATCACCCCGGCTTTTGTCAGTTTGCATGATTTTATTTAATCCGCAAAGCAACTCTGCAAGGAGAGTGTTATTCTATCCATGGCCAATATTTAGCTGGCACACACAGTTTCGGCTGTGCTCGTTGCTAAAAATACTGCAGTACTTCCTAGTTGCCAAATTAGTCATTGTCCCGAGCGCTCCAAGTCCCCCTTCTCCCCTGTAACCCTGCAGCCTTCTGTGCCCAGGTTCTTCCCCTTGGATCCCTGCCTCCCCTCACCTCCCCCCCCACCCCACCCATTTCCAGTAACCACAGGGATGGCACCTGGCTCAGTGGGGAGCCTCAGGGTCCAGGTTCAGCTGTTCCATTCTGAGTGCTGACTGGCTCATTCTATGCTCATATATAGAGTTCATATCTGTTTCATCCCTGGGTACTTGGAAGTGCAGTGGGGATAAGCCAAGTCGCCAACCTTCTAAATGGAAATCCTAAAACATCCAACTCCAGAATCTAATGCCCAAGGTTATTTCTTTATGCTCAATTTCTCCTTAAACACAGATTAGAAAAACTAATAAAAGCCATTTGACCTCCTGGAATGCTGAGGACATTCCCCACGATGTCAGCAGGTGCAGTGTGTGAAGACAGGTCAGAGTCGGGGCCTGCACCACCTGCACTCATGAACGTCATTTCCATACTCTCTGCCCCAATCCTTTGCCCTCACTTCTGGCTCTGAGGTCTCACGACCTGAGGTCTCACGACCTGAGCACTGGAAATATCCAGTCACACCATTTAAGTAGTTCACATTTCTACCTCTATTTCACAAACTGAACAGAGGATTAGAAAGATGTTAACATACTCTCAAAAATGCAGTAACACGTGGATCTTACATATGAGTAGCAAATAGAAAGTGAGAACAGCTCAGAGGATAGATCTTATACTGAAATTCAGAGCTGGAAACTGGTAAAGATCCCTCAGAAGCTGAAGACACATGTCTGCACTTAGATTGAGGAAAACGAAAGTGGTATCTCCTTGATTATACACATTTATTCCTTAATTGTGCACTCAGAGCTGCAGAGACCCCCTTGGATTGCCTTGAAATGCAAACATTTAAGAAAGTGTCATTAAGTTCCAAAGTCTTTGAAATAAATCCTAAAGACTGAGCAGTCACATAATTGGCTTAATTAAATCCCATTACACAATTAGCATAAATTAGAAATAATAGAATCAGAACATGTAATTTCATAATTATGACATATAACAATAATGCCAAAATTAAGTTGGCAAATGGTGCTTATGCAGGAGGGTGCATATAAATCTTCTTTCATATGCCCAAATATCTCCACCCTCCAACAGTTTACTGTTCAGAAATACGGCCCAAGCACATAGGATTCATTCTAAGCTCCAGACACAGAAAGCAACATCTGGAAAATTCTTAGTTCTTTGCCCTCCTGATGCAGCTAATGTAACGGGTGATTAGGTTTCTATTTCATTAAAGGACAAGGATGAGTCCTCTCGTTTGGAGGTCGTAATAGATTACTGCAAGGCAGACTTCACGCTTAAGGGTGGGGTCTGCTGGAAAGCCTTCCGCAGAGTATTTGTGTGTCTAGAAGGGGCAGGGCTTGAGAAGTGCTATGAGGGAGAGATCAGGATTCAATAGCCTTATCTCCCAGATCAGCCATCTAATCACTAATACAGCATTCACTATTCTCGGTTCATGTGACATAACCCTTCCTGCTGCATCTCGAAAGAGAAAAAAGATGGCATTTGACTAATAAGAAATTCACGTTCCAAATTCCTGCAGCTATTGTAGTGTGCCTTCTAAAATTATGTTCCTCTACCACAGGACTAAGAAGAAACCACTCACTTGTTGATTCACTCATTATTCATTCATTCACTCATTCATTCAATAACCCTTTAAGCTTCCCAAGGGAAGAGACTATTTCACATTTATCCTTCTATATCAAACCCACAGCCTACCTGCTAACATGCAGGAAGCACTCAATGTTTATCAATGTGCTTTAACACATAGTGCAGATATGACCTGCTGTTGCCTAAAACAAAGAGCTGCTGGGTTCCTGGCCATGGCCTTTAAGTAATTTAAAATTATTTCTGAATCAAGACAATCACTATATTAATAAATACATGAGTTAAATTGTTCAAGCTGGTATCACCATGTTGTCCTGAAACAGTTCAATTAAGTCAAGTAAGTGGAAGAGTTCAAAATTGCCACACATTGAAGTAAGGAAATGGTCCCCCCACCCCGAAACCTTGGTTAGGGGAGGGGTGTGTAGCTGGGGACTGGGTTAGATCCCAGAACCACCAGAACATGTGGGGAGATTGCAGAGACCGCTCACGGCATGTGGCGTTTCCATCCTGCTGTTTGTCACATTAAGTAATAAATATCCCCAAGGGCTCCTAACTATCCCAGAAAACGAGCCCTGAAGGTCTGAAAATGTCTCCTCAGATGTTAGTGAACCATCTAAAAGCCTGGGGTGTTTTTTCTAATGATTTCTATTTTGTTTGTTCCTCCTCAGTCATCATCCTATGGGCGATGGTAGAAGCCAGGGGCTTGGTGATGTCCGAAGGCCCTTCATTCCCTTGCCTCTAGCTTACTGGCTTCCCTTTCGTTATGTTTACTTTCCCGCCTCATTCTCTCTCCCTTCTTGCTTTCTGTTCCCAACAAATACTAGCTCAAAATATCAGCTCTCTTATCAAAAACAAAGGTCTGCTTGCCAGAAGAAAACATAACTCCAAATACCTTGATTTGTTCACATTATCCCCTAACAATTTCCTGGAAGATGCTCTGTGTTAATTCAGGTTCTTGGACACTGGCTATTAGAGTTTGAATGCAGGGTAAGAGTATTTTAAGTTTCTGTTAATATTTCAGAGTTTTGATCCTGTCACTTGATGCATATAAAGCTATAAATATATTTGCTAAGATTCTAAACCCTAGAAGCGATCTATTATCGTATGTACAAAGTATGCTTTAATACATACTGGTATAAATATTCTTTATTCACATGATTAAAAAAAAAAAGTTGAAGCACTGAGGTGAAAAAAATACACAAAGGGGAGCATACCTCCCAAACTTGCTTTATCTTTGTTCTTCCCATTTCACCAAAAGGCAGGAACCAGTTGCTATGGGCCCAAGGCACAAAAAAAGATTTACTTAAAAGGTACAGCAGAATTCAGATGTGTTATTTTGTGAAATGAGGAATTTCCTCATTTTCTTTGCATAAACCCTTGAGCATTAAAGCTACATCAATTATGATATAGCTTCCAGAGCACTACTGATAAACAAGGACCTAAGTCAACTTGGGAACTGGCCTGGTTTTGAAGGACTAAGAGTAAAGCTAGTAGGAAGGTATCTGAGAAACTTCCTTCTACTTAAGCGTAGCACCCTCTGATTTGGAGAAACAGTCTGAATTTAGGTGCAGGAGTACTTCGTTTGCTCTGTGCTCTCCCCCGGGGATTGTAATACACAGCCAGGAGCGCCACACAACTGGGAGTAATAGATGTTCTGAGTTGGGTTCACCAGGTAGATTTATAGATGTTTTCAAAAAAAGCTAATTTTAGTGAGTAACCTGCCGTTCAAATGCCCCTTTGTTTCCATCTGTCCTAAGTTTAATATCATGCTGCTTTCTCCTGGTCGTGGAAATTGAGGACAGTGCCTGTTCTCAGGGATGTGACCATGTGAACAAGAAGGCGGCTTTTTGTGCTGAGAGAAGCTGTGAGCTCTTCACCCTTCAGGCTGGACAGTCATGGTAAGTACGTGGAAACTTACAATTTCAATTACAAGTGCCTGGAAAATGCTGGGTTCACGGCTAAAGCTAAAGACAGGCCGCATGTTCTCAACAGTCTGGTCACCTGTTGATTTCTTTACTACAAAATCTGAAGGTTTTGCTTGTTCTGTCTCTTCTGTGTTGTTGTTTTGGATCAAAAATGTTTTCTTCCTCCTCTCCTTTCATTTTTTCTCTCTTGCTTGCTGAGGTAATGCTAACTTACAACACTCTATCATCTGCAGGTGCACAGCTTCACATTTGACAACTATATAAGCCACACCACACTCACACTAAAGACCTCATTACCATCCACCACCATTCAATTCACCCACTCGACATGCTCCACCCACCTGCTCACCCTCTCCACCTCTAGAAGCCACTATTCTGTTGTTAAACACTAAGATTTGTTTTGGGTTTTTTTTTGTTTGTTTGTTTGCTTTGTTTCTTTACATTCCACATGAATGGCATTATACAGTATTTGTCGTTCTCCTTATAAGTTATAATATAACTCCAGTTCCATCTATGTTGTTGCAAATAGCACAATTTCACCTTTTTTATAACTGAGTAGTATTTCATTGTGCATATAAACCACATCTTTATCTAATCATCCGTCGCTGGGCACTAGGTTGCTCCAAATCATGCTATGGTGAAGGGTAATGCAATGAACACAGGAGTTCATAATTGAAGAAAAGTTTCATATTCATCAGATAAATACCCAAGGGTGGGGTTGCTGGATAAAATGGTAGTTCTGTTTTGGGGAATGTCTACATTGTTATCCATGGTGACTGCACCAATTTACTTTCCCTCCTACAGTACACAAAGATTCCTTTACCTGCACATCTTCACCATATTTATTACTGTTTCTTGACTTTTTGATAATATTTTAACAGGTGCTAGGTAGTGGTGTGGATTTGCACTTCCCTGATGCTAAATGATGAAGAACATCTTCTGGTGTTTCGGATGGCCATCTCTATCTTTGCAGAAGTACCTATTTGGATCCTCTGCCCCATTTTTAAATTGGGTTGTATGTTTGTTGTTGAGTTGCATGAATTCATTATATATTTTGGATATTAACCCCTTCATTGATATATTGTTTGCAAATTCCTTCTCCCATTCAGGAGGCTGCCTTTTTAATTTTAATAATGGTCTCATTTACTGTGCAGAAGCTGTTTGATTTCACATAATCTCATTTATTTTTATTGACATGATACTATATTATAGCAGTATATAACATTCAGGTGCTCATCATTAAAAATCAGCATGCGTAAATACTACATTAAGTTCAACACTGAAAATCCATTTATATGTGTGTGTGATTTAGGATCTTCTGTGATTCTGTGTACATTTCATGTTTTTTTGTTGCATTTTTGTGCAGAATGTCATTGGGATTTTGATAGGGATTATACTGCATCTATGTACTGCTTTAAATAATATAGTCATTTTAAAGGTGTTAATTTTTTCCATCTTTTTGAGTCTTCTATTTCTTTCAACATATTTCATAGTTTTCTGTATACAGGTCTTTCACTTTTGTGGTTAAATTTATTCCAAGGTATTTAATTCTTTTTGAAGTGATTATAAATGGGATTGTTTTCCTGTATGTTCTTTCTGCTTAATTACTGTTTTTCTGTAGGTAGTCACCTGCAATAAATAATAGTTTCCTCCTTTTAAATTTGGATTCCTTTTTAAAAATCTTTGTCTTGTCCTATTATTTTAATACCATTTTCAATGATGATGAAAAGAGTGGACATTCCTTTCTTGTTCTTGATCTCAGAGGAAATGCTTCCTGTTTTTCACCATTAAGTAGCATGGTGAAAACAGGCATGGTTATATAACATGTGGCTTTTATGATGTTGAGGTGTTTTATCACAGAAGGATATTAAGTCTCATCAAATGCTTTTTCTGCATCTATTGAAATTACTGATTTTTGTACTTCTTTTGGTTGATTTGGCATTTCTTATTAATTTGCATATGTTGAACCATCCTTGCATTCCTAGAATAAATCCCACTTGATCATAGTATATGATTCTTTTAATGTATTGTTGAATTTTTGCATCTATATTAATCATTTTGGCCCAGAATTTTCTTCCTTTTTTTTTTTTTTTCCCCCTGGTGATGTCCTTGTCTGATTTCACAATCAGGCTAAGGTTGGCTTTATAGGATATGTTTTTTCCTTTTTAATTTTTTAATTTTGTGGAAGAGTTTGATAAAAACAGGTTTTTTTTTTTTTTTCTGCTAAAGACATATAAATTCAGTAATTGGGCTTTTGTTTTGGGGAAACCTTTTGATTACTGTTTCCATTTTGGTCTGCTCACATTTTCTATTTTTTCCCTGATACCCTTTTAGAATGGTGTATGTTTCTAAGAATTTGTGCATTTCCTCTGGAAATTTGTTACCATATAATTGTTCATAACACTCCTCTTATGATCCTTTGTATATCCTTTGTATTTCCTTAGTCTAATTTCTCTGGTTTTGATTCTGCTTTTATTTATTTTTTTCTCCTTTTGTGAGCCTGGTCAAAGTTTATCTACTTTGTTAATTTTTTTCAAAGAATCAGTTGTTGATTTCATCTGTTTCCTGAACTTTTTTTTTTTTTATCTCTTTCACTTATTTCTGCTCTAATTTTTATTATTCCTTCTACTGACTTCTATTTTTTAACCTAGTACCATAAAAGATGTAAACCTAGGTTTTTTTAATTTGTGATTCTACTGTTTTCTGAAGCAGGTCCGAATTGTAATAGACTTAATAGACTTTCCTTTTTTTTCCTTTTTGTCCTATAGGTTCTAACAAGTTATTTCTTCATTCTCATTTCTCTCCAGGTATTTTTTAAATTTCATCTTTGATTTCCATGTTGACCCAATAGTTGTTCAGTAGCATATTTGTTTGTTCTTCACAATTTGTAGCTTCCCCCTCTTTCTACTTTTGGTTGATGTTTCAAACCTCTGAGATCCAAAAAAGATGCTTGATATGAATTCAACCTTCATAAATTGAGATTTGTTTTGTATCCCAACATATAGTCTATCCTTAAGTATGTTTCATAAGTACTTGAAAAAGAGTGTGTATTCTGTTGTTCTAGGGTGGTATGCTCTGTAAATATTAAATTCATCTCATCTGATTTGTCACTTAAGGGTATTGTTTCCTTGTTGATTTTTTGCCTGGGTGGTCTGTGAATTGCTGTGAGTGGGGAGTAAACGTCCTTTAAGTATTATAATGTCTCCATTTAGTTCTGTTAACATTTGCTCTTATATTTCATTGCACATATATTACTACATTTTATGTCTTCCCATTGTATTGATTCCTCTATCATTACATAATGTCCATCTTTGCCTCTGGTTACCTTTCTGGCTGGAACTCTATTCAATCTAATGTAATTATAGTGGCCCCTGCTTTTAACAATTTTCCACTGGCTTGGAATACCATTTTCCATCCCTTCACTTTAGGCTATATTTGGTCTTTATAGTTTTTAAAGTGAGTTTTTTTTGTAAACAGCATATGGTTGGGTTTTGACTTTTATGAGAGCTTGCTAGTGCCATTTTGCTTTTCGTTTTCTGAATCTGTCTATCTATGAGTGATGCAGCATTTTCTCCATTTTTAGATGAAGAGGCAGAGGCTCAGGTAGACTCAATTAACTATCCAAGAACACAAGCAAATTAGCAATGGGGCCAAGATTGATCCCAGATCTTTCTGGCTCTAAAGCTCACTCACACAGAGTCCTTCCTACTTTATGACTCTGCTTCCAATGTCATTTAAGAATCAACAAGTGTTCTTCTCTGACCAGTTTCTCCTCCAAAACAAAGAATTTCTGAAACCAAAACACCACATTCTACATAACCAGGCTACAATGAGATATTTATTCGCACATGATATGCTTGCACCTTCCCCCATGTTCCCCAACCCTAATCAATTGCCAAACATCACCCCTGACTTCATCTTTCCCTTCTCCAAACCAGCAACAATAGTCCTTTAGTTAAAACCTTCAGTGGCTTTCCATTTTTGATGAAATAACATCCAAACAGTGATATTAATTACTTAAAAGTATAACCTACTTTTCTTGTCCTCTCCAAAAGCTTCCTTACAAGTGGACTATGTGAATGAAAGTAGGCAATGAGCTATTCCCTCAGGGTCTGAATTTTCAGGCTGCTCCCCTTACAGAACTTGCTCTTATCCAGCAGAGATGCTGTCTATACAAATTCTATCTTGTGTGGTATCTTGCCACTTCTCTCTCTCACACACCATGTATGTGCATGTATTCTCTCTCTCTCTCTCTCTCTCTCTCTCTCTCTCTCTCTCTCTCTCCCCTCCTTGTACTGAAGCCTCTCCAGATTGCCTTAGCAGAGGAGAAATGTGTGACACTCTTCAGTATAATCCCTGAAACCTAAATCCAGGGACATCATGGTGTCCGATAAATGGATATTGACAAAAGGAACTCTAACTTTGATAAAGTATTTAAATGTCATGCTTCAATGATTTCCCCTCAGAAAGCAGAAACAAAATATTTCATAGAAATGGGCTCCAAGCATCTTGAGATCAAGAATGTATAAATAATGAATTCACATTCTTAAAGTGATTACCATTGTTCCTAATTTCAAAGGGTGAGAAGGCAGAAAAGGAAAGTGGAGAAAAAGAAACATGAAAAGATCCTGCCCTATATTAAATACAGAATGTAGAGAAAATAAACTAGGAGGTAAGTCAATAATAAAAGAAACATGGAAAATAATTATAAAAATTCAATTTACATGCAGCTCTTCTGTGGGCATATAAATATTGTCCTATAAGATAAACTCCTGCATTATTAACTTATTACTAGGTGGCTCAACTGAGTACCTGCTGCCTTCCCAAGTCATGCTAGAGGGCAGGACACACAGCCAGCGACACCTGGCTCTCCAACCTCCTGCGCACTGGTGCTGACTCAGTATTATGTTGCCCTTGTGGGGAGGGTTCCTGAGTCTTCTAAGGTCTCATTCTCAAACAGTTATGGTTTTGTAGGATGATTTTTGAGGAAAGAAATCCAGTATGCAGCTATGTTTATTATAAGAATAGAAGAATGTATATTACATGCTGCCTCGTGGGGCATGATACTCCCTCGTGGCATATCATGTGTGAACAAGCTGTAATTCTGACTTCCCTTCAGTAAGTTAGTTTTAATCTTAGTGAAACAGAAAAAAAATTCAAATCGTGGACAACAATGCCCTCTGTGCAAGGCGACTGGCCTTCAGGAGGAAACATAAGCATCTGGACGTGGCAGGATGCCCGCGAAAGCATCACAACCTCGATAAGTCTGTCCAAATGCTCTCCGCAGACATGGGGCATTCTATTCTTCCCAGACACAATTTAATTTCTTAAACTCTTGAATCTGAAATTCAAGACATTTATGAGTGGGAATCTCCTGTTCACATTTGCCAGTGGGCAAGTTTCAGGTTGACAGGGAGCATGAGGTCAAAGGGTCAGAGGCAGGACTGAGGAGTCACAGCACAGAGAACCCTTCAGTGGCATCACCTCACACGCATGACTCAGCCTGGGCTTGTATCACCAAGAAATCAGCCAGCAGCAACCATGTAGGGGTTCTTCAGTCCTGTCTACAAGTGAACTAAACAGCTGCTGGGACTTCCCAGCTCTCCTGCACATGAGGGAGGAGAAAGGCAGAGGTCACAACACACAATGGGCACAGCAAGAATGCCCTGGCCACTCACCACAATCATCTGAGCCACGTAGCTCTCGGGCCCAGTGTACTCAGTCGGGTCTTTGACCTTCACCAGGACGAGGAAGTACAGATAGTGCCACATATTGTGTTCTGACTTGATGTGCTCCTCAAATGAAACAGTTTTATTATCGAACTTGTCCCTCTCGAGTCCTGCAAAACATAGGAAGCACAGCAGATGTAGCTTGTCACTTCACCAGCACCCGTCAGCCGTGCCAACAAAATGCAATCATTATTGTAAAAGAAAGGCTTTCGGTAAGCATGCGCCAATTAAAAATACTAGCATTTAAAACATGGTACACAAGGCCTCCATAAGAATGGCAAGAATTTATAAATTTCTTCCCAACTAACAATTTAAAAGATAGTCACATCACAATCATTACGTTAAACTAAACTACACATCTAAGAAAAAAGAAATCACAGTGACTGTGCAAGAAAATGCACACTTGCTAATCAAGATAGAAGAAAAATTAAGCCATTTGTCCGGAAACATGGGTAAAATGAAGGAAGGCAGCTGAGAGTCTTCTGTTCAGAATCGCTCGTAATCTGCCAGGCCAGCTCGCTGGCAGGACGGTGGTGGGTGCAGGCAGGGCTGGGAGCCCAAGGGCCCTGCAGGTCATCGCGGGCAGGCATTTTGGGGAGAGGACAGTCTGCTCACTTTCCAGGGCACATTTTCAGCCCCTGGAAGGACAACTGAGGAGAGGATTTGAGTAGTTAGACTCTTCTCTCAAAGGTTGAAGAGTGGATGAAAGGAAATGAATGGAGAAGTAAAACATTGATGGAAAAATGAATTAGACTGCCAAGAAAATGGGCTGTGGAGATCCAGTCTGGTTTTGCAGCTCAGATACTGAGAAGAAACCAGGAAACGGAATTCCAAACCTGGCTGCTCTTCTCCTAAGCATATTAAGAAAAACCGAAACAATTCTGCCAATCAGGTATGTATCAGGGTCTTACAGAAGACCCTTCAAGTAGTAAGATACAAAGCACAGTAGGAAAAACTGTTCTGAATGAAGGGGTCACTTTTAAAATGCTATTATTGAATATCTTAATGGAAAATACCATAAAACTTAGTTGGCTGAGGGGTATGCCTCAACCTATTTGACCTATCATCAGCTCGGCACACCCCAAATAAATCTAATCCTCTTCCACAAGCTTGCTCCACCCACAGTCCTTCTCTTTCCATTCCATGGCCATTCCCTTCTTCCAGTGGTTCGAGCCAAAGCAAGCCAGTCCTGAATCTCCCTCTCCTTCGAGCCAGTCTCAGTTGAAATTCCTTGGACTCCAGCATCACCTTCTCTCCTCCACTGCCACCATCCTGAGTGTTATGGCCTCTCATCTGGATCACTGTAAGAGCCTCTCTGCTCCTGTTCCCACCTTCATTCTCTGTGGCCTCTTCTCAACATAGAAACCAGGCTAATGCTTGGAAAACTTAAGAACGATGGTGTGTCTTCTGTGTTTCAAACCCTGCAGGGGTTCCTCACCCCTTCAGAGTAAAGCTCAGAGTCCCTGTGATGGCCTGTGAATAGGGGTGCCAAGTAAAATACAGGGGCCCCATCGAGCTAGAATTTCAGATAAACCGTGGAGCTGAGTGAAAGCATGCCCCTTGCAGTACCTATTAGCTAGGCCCTAGGTGATCTGATCCTCTCTTCCATTGTCCTCTCATTGCTGACTCATCTGGCCACATAGGCCTCCTTTCTGGTCCTTGCACACCAATCCTGGTTTCAGGGACGTTGGGTTGGTGGCTTTCTCTACTCTCCACTTTCCTTTCTCTGGTAGCTCTTGATTACAGCTCACCTTCTCCATGTAGCTTGACTTGATCACCCTATTTAATCCTACCAGCTGTGTTTTCCCTTTTGCTGACATTCGCCGTCACTGTCTTGGTGCTGATCACCTCCTAGAAGACTGAAAGGAGTCTTAGCAACACTGTTAAACTGGATTACAAATTTCAGGTAAAGAAGACAGTAAGAAAAGTCTGTCTGCTAGCCAGCAGAAGAGAAGAGATGGTTTTACCTGGAATCTAGGTAAGGACTGACACTGCATATGACTTATTGCATGTCCGCGGCAGCCATGCTAGTCTTTCACTGATGGTTCCCCTAGCTTAGAAGGGTGTCGGGGGTAGAGCTGGCACTGAATAAGATACTAAATTAAGCCTGAATGAATTAAGAAGATTTCTCTCAAAAAATATTCCACTAGAATGGCTATAATCAAAACCAGATAGTAATAAGTGTTGGTGATGGTGTGGGTAAAGTGAACTTTCATATGCTACTGATGAAAATGTAAAAATAGTATAGCTACTTTGGAAGATAGTTGGGCAGTTCTTCAAAAAGCTAAATGTAGCTACCACATGAATTAGCAATTTCACTGCTAGATATAGACACACAAGACACATATAGCACAGAAACCACGTATTAGGATTCCATTTACAGGAAATGTCCAGAAAAGACAAATCAGCAGAGGTAGAAAATAGATCTGAGGAGGGCAGAAGGCCAGGGTTGGTGATGGTGATTACTGAAGAGTACTGGTTTCTTTGGTAGACAATGAAAATATTCCAAAATTGGTTGTGATGACTGACGCACCACAGTGAGCATACTAAAAACCACTGGACTGCACACTTTAAGTGGGAGAGTTAGTTGTAAGGTATGTAATTTATATCTCAATAGAGCTATTACCAAAAAAAAAAAAAAATTTCCCCAGAAATCAATTCAAGCAATTTCCCACCAACTGCAAGGTATAGAAGGCTATAAAAATAATGTCTACTATCAATTCCCCCATAATATGGTAGAGAAAACAGATAACTCTGTTATATATATTCTGAGGTGGTATAAACTGCCAAGGATGCAGAGAGCAGGGCAGAATGAACTCTGAGCAGGTACATTTTGAAAGGATTCAAAGAGGCTTAAATTGTTAACTGGCTGACCCTGAGATATGATTGTGGCGAGTGGAAAAGAGATGGATGGTAATAAAAAGTACTTCATTTTTATTGAGCACCTATTATGCTGCTAACTCTAAAGATCCAGTCTAACTTTTTATCACGTAAGGAGACCTATTCAGAGGGATTCAATTAATTGCTCAAGTTGACACCTCTAGTTAGTGGGAAAACGAACCAGTATTTCAATTAAAATCTTTGATTCTAAATTCCAGTTCTTTTGCTTTCTCAGCAGAGGAAATGATCCCGCAGAGCTAAAGAAGAAAGCAGATGACTGGGAGAATGTGGATTCCTATAGTGTGGCCAAAGGGGACCTTCAGAATGATGATGCAAAGGACCCTTTGGCTGAAACCAAGAGCGGCAAAGGCAAAGCTGAGGGGCTGGTGCTTTATTCGAAGGCTTCTGAGCGGAACTGAGCATATTTGGAGCTGAGCTTTTAGTGAGATCTGGGCAGGATTTAGAGGGAGAGCAGGTGGAGAAGAGGCTGGGGGTGGAGAGTCCAGGGAGATGTCAGCCGTGGAGCAGGTTGTGAACAGGGAAGTGGGTGGCTTTCCTCGGCACTGGATCCTGCTTTCCAAGCTTCACTGCTCACCCAGGGTTTTAACCATTCTCATGCCCATGATTTCCCATCTCTGTCCCCAGTACGGACCTTTCTTCTCACCTGCAGTTCTATTTCTAGCTGCTAAATGGATAAATCCACCTGGATAGCTTCTGGCATGTCAAAGTCATCAAAAATCATTTCTCAAGACCCCCCCCTTCACCTCTGTTCATGGGGTCCCAGCCAGCCCTCCACAGACGTGTGCTCCGGCCATCTGCTCTGTGTGCCTTCCCAGGGGTGGCTCTGAACTCTCACTGGTCCCCTGACACACCATGGGAAACTCTATGTGCCACCCAATCTCTTATTTTCCTTATAGGAGTCCATCTTCAAAACCCGGCTCTGGCACGGCCGCCACTCACGCCCAGGGACACAGCCAAGCGTGCGGACCCTAGCTGTGCCCAGTTTGTGGGGAAAACATGCGTGGTTCTACCCGTTCACTGTCAGATTTATTTTGTGTTACTGGCATCCGGTAGTTTCAGCATGTGGAAAACTAAAGTTGACAGAATAATGGGATAAATGAGCGAGAGACTGAAGAGGAATTCTGGAATGAAAATAGACGAGGGCATGTCTTCCAATTAGAGGCACAGATTTAGGAGGACTCATGCATGACTGCATTTTCTGTCTTGAATGGTGGAGTTTATGATAGTATCCTTACAGCAAGAGGCAGAAAGAGAAGGTAGAGCTTTTGGAGGGAGGTTATATCTGATTTGGGAGGTGCTCAATTTAAGATGGCCACAGAACAACAGAGTTGGGATGTTAGGTAAGAAGCTGGAAATTCCAGAGAGGTCAAGAAATAAATCTGTTCGTTGAAATGACACAAAAATGCTCAGCACAGGAATCCAGGGTATTGGAGGAGGTGACTAAGGGAAGGAGCTTTGTGTGTTCAACACAGACTTTCCAGGAAAAGATGATGACAGCACATACGTTGTTTTCCTATCTACGTGTGAGCAAGGTAAGGGCACCTCGCAGCACACCCAGCATTCCCCACCCCTCATCTCTGCCATGTTTTTCTCCAGAGCCCCTGTTATCATTTGATATTCTGTGTCAGTTGGAGAAAAAGCTCCCACAAGGGCAGCATGTTTTGACTACTTTTGCTCGCTGCGGTACCCTGTCACAGAGCAGGTGCTCACTTAGTGACCCAAACAATGAATGATGTAATGCAGAAGTATCAGGCTAGTCCACCGAGAGAATAGAGCCTTCATCTCCCACTATACCACCTATTAAGACCATTAATTCTAAGAAGCTGACTATCCTCGTGATAGAAATTCAACCCTAATATCAAATCCTTTCTCTGTTATGCTCTTTTGTCCAGACCTGGTGATGCTATTGTGCCTCTGGTAATTCAAAATTAATAATTAATATGAACACTGGAGATGTTTGCTTCAGTGCTTACTGCTTCTGCTCATCATCACCTTATTGTGACTGCCTTCTGGATCACCAGTAACTGTTTTCTTTTTTTTTTTTTTTTTTTTTTTATAGAGGCATGCTTTATTTATTTGTTTGCTGGTTTGTTTGTTTGTTTTGTTTATACAAGCACTGGGTACAGTCAGAAGCACTGGAGGGTGAGAGAATTCACCAGAGCCAGAGCGGGGAGCAGAGCAGGCAGAAGGACAGAAGGACACTGCTGAG